CTCTCCTCTCTTCCTACGACTTCCTAGACCGTCCTACCGTACACTACTATAACCCACCCCCACCCCCCAACCCCCCCCAAAAAAAAAAAACCCCCCGGTAAAACCCGGGCGACTGAGCTAGGCAGGCAATTCTGTCTTTTACCACATTGATGTGTTGTATGTGTCTCCACACACACACACACACACACAACAAGATTGTGAAATTGAAATGCTAGTGATTGCAAGATGAGTGTATTGCTGTACAAAAATTTCAAGAATCTGATGCTTATAATATTCATACAATAACAGATGGAGAACCCAAGAATCCAACAAAGTTATAATGTGGAACTGATGAGTATTTGATCGTGGTACATGTGGGAGATATCAGAGTTTCTCAACTTGTGGCTTTAGATATGTTTCCTTTCTCTATGTTTAGGGTTTAAATAAAGAAAATTAAAAGTTCAAAATAAAATATTATATTATTTGATTCTTTTGGTAGAGGAATCCGACATATCATATGAAGAATCAAGGCATGTTGGAGTCCATGTGTTCATGTATCTCATGAATCCTCTCTAAAGGATTATTTGGAATGCAGAATATAGCCGTGTCCATACTGTACATGCGACTACCAGCATCTAATTGTGTCTGACTCATGGAGTCTAGGGTGAAGAATTATGCAACATAAAAGGACCTTTGCAATTGCCTTAAAACTTTGAATGGACTTGACTAAGTATTTTTTTGAGCATATGGTCCCCTGCATAGATCCTCTGGTTGACCTCCCTTCACGTGGTGATATTTCCTTACCATATCCCATTTAATGCGAGCGTGTCCCCTACCCTCAGTCGAGCAATGCCAAAGGAAAGACCTCTTGAGTTTATCCATCTCGCTGCTTTTCATCTTTTATGTATTGTAGAAGGATAGGGTCCAGTAGATGGCTGAGCAGCCCAAAACAGATCTAATTACCTGTATATGAAAGCATGATGTCTCTTGTTCAAATTCCAACCGTGTTTAACCATTAATCTTGCTTCGTTTTTTCTTGGGCTGTCACCTATTCTTCAAAAACATGTAATGGCCAAATTTCACTTTTGTGTGGAAGTACTTTTGTATCGTTCTCAGTGGGAAATGTAAAGCTTAAATAGGAAACACAAAGCTTAAATATGGAAATACTTTTGAATCGTTAAAGTTGAAACACAAACGAGTGTCTTATTCTCTTCTCCTTCTTTGCCATTGCAACCTTCTTCTGGGACGTAAGCGTCTTTGATATGGAAATTCCTACAATGGGCATGTACTCTTTTCTTGATTCTATCTGTTGGGTCACTGTACCATACAAGCAACTATGAGACATGTAAAATAAAAGAATCACAGAATGGAAACATGCATATTCTTTGGTAGATTTTTTTGTTTCCATGCATTAATATATTATTTTGTGTTTCTTTTGTCACTTTTGTAAGGAAAACAGCTTTATAAATCATGTACTCGATTCGAGAATGCCTCATGGGATGGTTAGGCCTACAAATGCATCATGTATGTATTACCCTGTGAAATTTTGTACATATGATATATTAATTGACTTCGAGGAATCAGCCAGGTTTGGCAACAAATCCATTATGGGAAAGAGGAAATCCAGAGCCAAGCCACCGCCAAAAAAGCGTATGGACAAACTTGATACGGTCTTCAGCTGTCCCTTCTGCAATCATGGTAGCAGTGTTGAATGTCGCTTGTAAGCAACATGTCCCTGATCAATAATTCTTTCGTATATACATTTTATGAATAGAAAAATGTCATTCCATTAATGTGCATGAACTGCATCATTATTAGGCATTCATGTGCCATGCTTGCCAGTGAGAAATTGGATTCGTGGACCTAGAATCTAGTTGTTTTTGCTATATACTGTCTATAGCAGAAAAGATATTAGGAGCAGTAGCCTTTTTACTTGTAATAAATGCAAAATCATGTTTACTAGCTGATAGATCTGAAATTTTGGGGGATGTTCGTCTCACCAAGGTGAACCAAAAAAACATCAATAAATAATACACAAAATTTGGAATGATATTTGTTCATTTTAAGTTTTGCATATTATTTTTTTATTTTGGATTTTTTTTGTTCACCTTGGTGAGGCACACATGCCCCAAGATTTTAGTTCCATTGGATTTAAAAAAGAATAAAATTCAAACATTGAACCACCTTGCTCCTCCAACCCCTGATGGTCATGAACTGCATCACTATTATGCATTCATTCATCATGCATGTCATTGTGAAATTGGATTACTGAGCCTAGAATCTAGGTGTGTTCATCATTTACAGTCTATATCAGAAAAAGAAATAGTAATTTGAGTGTTTTAGCTTGGCAAAATAAATGCAAATTTATGTTTACTTGATTTTGTGATCTTAAAAAAAAAAAAAATCAAGGCCAATATACATTCTAATAATTTTTGGGATTTATGGAACTATAATATTCTTTTCAGAGACATGAAGAATTTGATTGGGGAAGCCACATGCAGGATCTGCCAGGAAAATTTTAGCACCACAATAACTGGTATGTGATGATTCCTCGCTGCGAATAAGATGATTCCTTGCTACATAAAGTATTGTCTATTACATCATTAATGTTCTTGGTTGTCCATTAAAGAACCTTTCGCCCATATCTTGGTGGCTTTTGTGGGTCGGTTCTTAGAGATATAACCAACGGGCTTATACTGTAGCACAGTGTCCAAAAAAATAAAAAAAAGAAACTGGTGGGAACAGCTTGAGTCTTGGCGATCTTTAGACTCGAACAGCCCATCCACTGGATCCAAGCCGGCTCACCAGATTTTGAAACATTGCTGTAGTGCAAGCCACTTTTAAAAGTCAGAGTCCTACCAGAATAAAAAAAGAAAAATACAAAGAAAGTCGGGATCCATTGGATCCCAAATTTTACATACAAGTGGATCTCATCTAGGAAATACATGCGTGCGTGTGCGTGTGTGTGCATGTGCGTGTGTGTGTGTGTTTTTTTTCCCCCTAATGTTAACACCTTATGAATTCCTATAGGTTACACATAGAAAGGGGTGTAAAATGGTAAAGTTACTTTAGTTGCCTCTTGATTTGTTCCATTGCTATAAAATGACTAAGGGTACTTTTGTCATTATAAATAGTAGTGTTGATATTTGTGTCAAAAGCTAAGAGGGTATGTTTGTGTGAAATATTTAAAATATTCACTAAAAAACAAGGGCATTTATAACAATAAAGTACTTAGAACTTCATTACGTTATTACCCTTGTCTTTTAGTGGAAATGTTAACAATACTCTTTCTAATAACATGAATACCCTTACTCACTCTGTGAATATTGAAATTTTAAAGGAGCAACTATGGTAATTTTAACAATTCATACCCCTTTCTAAATGTAACCTATAGGATTTTGTAGGGTGTTAACAATAGAAAAACCCATATATATATATGAGAAATGATCGTATAGGACCCTCCTCCACCCATGTGTGTAGTACCCCAAAGGATCACCATTAAATTTGGCTCGGATCTATAGAAAAGGCAAGTCCTATACCTATGTGATAATTTTTCTAGAGATTCGTACCAACTTTAATGGTGATCCTCTGGAGTCCTACACACATGGGTGGGGGAGGGTCCTATAGGATCATTACTCTCTCTCCATCTATATATATATATATATATATATATATATACATAGAAA